ATTAACTGTCCTGGCAGCGTTAAAGTAATGCCGAACACTAATAGTACCGGGGTACTACAGAAATCCTCTCCGATAATTGACCGGATGCTGAGCAAAATCAAAGATAAATGATCAATCCAGTTTTATGAATCAGGCTGTGTCATTAAGGGGCTTTTAAGCTGTCTGCGAAATCTCCCTACTAGGTCATTCCCTGCTGGATGGTATGCAGCGGTGGAGATATGTTGCACAGAAGTCAAATGAACTTGCGAAATAATGTCGACTGGAACTGAGCTTCTCTATCCGATGTCACTGTAGATGGAACAGCATAATTCGAGATCCAGCGATCCAGAAATACTGGGGCAACATTTTCAGCTGACAAATCACTGAGTGGGCAAGCGATAGCCCACCGAGTAAATCTGTTTATCGCCATGAGAATGTGCATGTACCCTTTTGATTTCGGCAACGGGCCAACTGTAGCTATGTGTAAATGTTGGAATCGTATCTCCGCAAGGTCGAACTGTTGAGGTATGGTGACCGTATTTCTATCAACTTTCGAGCGTTGGTATTAACGACATTAGCATGCCCACTGTTGAATGTCCGAATTCATCTTTGGTCATCCGAAACGCTCGCTTATTAGCTTGAATGTAGCTCGCGCACCCGAATGGGATAGTGCATGTAAATGATTGAATAACGCTTTTCGACAAGTTTGCGGAAAAAAGGGTCGAAAGGACACCTGTAAATACGTCACAGACGATGGTGGCGTTTGATAAGGGAAAAGATATATCTCTGAGTTGCAAAGAGTATCTCTCAAGGCAAGTTAAAAGTTCAGTGTCATCGCGTCGTAATTTTGCGATGGTATCAAGATTGATTTAAATCATGGCGATAGAGAGAGTCGGCTACCACATTGGCTTCTCGTTTAATGTACTGTATGTCCATTGAGAACTGAGAAAGATAATCTAGCTGCCTAACTTCTCTGGGTGAGTGTCTATGTGGTGATTTAATGAAAGTGTAGCACAGAAGTTTGTGGTCGGCAAATATTGTGAGGAAAATGACGACCTTGTAGCAGGCAACTGAAATGTCTGATTGCTAGGTGGAAAGCTAACAACTCTCTACCAAAAGTACTGTAACGCGTCTTAGCCGGCTCCAATTCCTTTGAGAAGAAAGCGAGAGGAGCTACTGCGTCATTTATTTTCTGCTGGAGTACAGCTCCTACTGCAACTTGCGAAGCATCAGTGCACAAAATGAGATGCCTTGGCGTCGATGTGGGAGGGCATAACAACCTTGGATAAAACTTCTTTAGCGTTATCGAGTACTTCTTTCTCTTGATTCGACAGCTGAAATTTTTGAATCGCATTTGAGAAGATTGGCTAAAGGTTTTACAATGGCGCACATAAAGGGATAAAACGTCGATAGAAGTTAGACATCCCTAAAAAAGGGTCTGATCTTCTTGGGTGACACAGGTCCGAGGAAGGTTTTGATGGCCTCTATCGTTTTCTCCGTAGGCCTAGTACCACTTACAATTATGCGGTTTCTCATAAAATGTATAGAGGAAGCATCGAATATGCAATTTTTGGGATTAATGGTGACGCCTTAGTGGTCAAAACGCTGAAAAAAGGTGGTGAGGTGTTCTGTGTGTCCTTCAACGATGAGCTAGCAATTAAAACGTCATCGATGGATGCAAATACAAAATACGATTCTCGTGTGACCTCATCCATGAAACATTGGGAAGATTGTGCGGCGTCCTTGAGACAGAACGGCGTGCACAGAAATTCGAACAAACCAACAGTTTTCGTGATGGCTATTTTTTCAATAGATTCTGGTGTGACTGATATTTGATGATAGGCTCTGACCAAGCCCACTTCGGGAAAAATGGTTTTCCTATGTAATGTCAAGGAGAAATCGTGTAGGTGGGAAATCGGATAACGGTCCGGAATTGTGGCGTTGTTTAAGTTCCAATAATCCCCAGCCAGCCTTTTTTTGGGCGCATTGCAGACTTTCGGGGCAGACCTATGGCGCATTGCAGATTTTTTGGGGCAGACTTCGGGGCGAATACTCAAGAACGGCAATGCGCCCAAAGTTTTTTGCCCCGAAAAGTCTGCAGTGCCCCCGAAGAAAATGCTAGCTGGGTCCCCACATGGTCTCCAGTCATGCTCAGCTTTAGGCACCGTGTGTAAGAGTGAAGACCAAGAGCTACAGGAAGGTTTGATGATGTCGAGCTGCAAATTCCACCTTATCTGCTGCTAATTTTTCAGGTGGAAGTCTGTAGTGACCCGTTTTATTACTCATAATCGTACTATACTTTCATTGTGTAATTGTACTTTCATTTGTTTATTACTCTAAATCATGCATGTTAACAATTGATACTTTTTGTACTCGCTCGATTTTTGAATTTTGATTGCTGCAATAATACACTGTCGTATTCCTTCGCAAGTGCCTTTTTAATTACGTTGTGGATGTCGAGTAATCACAACGTTAGGACACAAATATAAACGCGAAGAAGTACTAAGATATACGTGCATTCTAGTTCAGTCAAAATAGAGCAGCAATAAATTGGTGAGCCCTACGATAACTTGCTGACTCCGACGACGACGACTTTTGACCTCGACGCGTTGTTACACTTGTTGGATTAATAAAACTTTAACCTTCGTGGATCTATATATTTATTACATATTCCGAACTCATTCTTGTGTTTGCTCATCGCACAACCTGCAGTAATTTGTGGTAAGCACCTGCATTGCATTTTTCTGTTTTGCCATATTCTTATTGTGCACAAATTTTGCTATTTTGTTACTCTTAAACCAATTTTTTACGAATTATAACATGTCTTCCAATACCTCTGATAACTTAGAGCTGGGATCTGTTAGTGCTATCTCTCTTACTGTACCAGTTTTTAAGCCCAGAGACCCTCATCTTTGGTTTGCTCGACTGGAACATTATTTGGCTAGCAATAAGCTCACATCACAGACAGCTAAATTTGGCATTTTGAGTACAGTGCTACCAGACGAAGTCGCCGAGCAGGTACGACAATACATCGTTCATCCCAGCACAGAAGCGCCGTATGACAAGTTGAAGGAAGAGGTACTGCGATGCACTTCGCTTTCAGATAGGCAAGCACTCGATCGCCTGTTAAGCAATGTTGAGTTAGGTGATAAAACCCCATCTCAACTCATGAGGCATATGCAAAGCCTAGTTGCAGGAAGAGAAATCGATAAACGTCTCTTTTATCAAATCTGGCTGCGACGACTTCCGCAAAACATCCAGCAGGTTCTTGCCTTCGGAGACGACGACATTGATATAGAAAGGCTCACTGAAATCGCAGATCGCATGTACGAGAGGTCAACACCTCAATCTGTCGCTTCCACTAGCAGAATACCAGATAAAGTTATCACGATGGACCCACTGAATAAAGCAGAAGCCATCAGAGTCGACAAAACGTCAAACGAACGCATAGAAGCCTTAGAACGTAAAATCGACGTGCTCACTGAGCAATTAATGGCAATGAGGGTTAATAGACAACCTACCACAACGTACAGAAGACAACGTAGCCACTCACGCAATAGGCGTAAATATAGCTTACAACAGAATATATGCTGGTATCATCGGAAATTTGGGGTACACGCAAAACGGTGCACACAACCTTGTGCTTTCCAACAAACGGTGGCGTTGGGAAACGAAAAGGCCGGCGGTCGGTGACGACTGCGGTCGCTGGCCAACACACGTCCCACAGCCGTCTATTCAGGGTGACAGACAAAACAACGGGGGCACAATTCCTGGTAGATACTGGTGCAGAAATTAGTGTAGTTCCCCCAACACCCAACGAGCGCTTACAACCAAACCCAGCATTAGTTCTCAAGGCTGCGAACAATTCTACCATAAAAACATTTGGAACTCGGAGACAAAAACTTAATTTTGGATGCAGTACGCCATTTGAGTGGGAGTTCGTAGTCGCCGACGTAACCTTTCCTATCATTGGAATAGATTTTCTTCAACACTACGAATTGCTAGTTGACTCTAGTCACCATAGATTGATAGATACCAGTCGTAAACTATCGATTTCAGGCATCTCCACAGATGTCGAGAGTATTCGCTTGATGGTAGCCACAACAGATCAATTATCCAGGTACGATATTTTGCTAAAAAAATTTCCTGAACTGACACAGAGCGATTACTCCACAGCCTCTCTCAAGCACAACGTTACACACCATATTGTAACTAAAGGTCCACCGGTCTCAGCAAAACCACGTCGTCTAGATCCAGCTAAAATGCAAATAGCAAAAGCAGAATTCAACAGATTATTAGATCTAGGAATAATACGACCGTCAAACAGCCCGTGGTCATCACCACTGCATATGGTACCAAAGAAAAACTCAACAGAGATACGACCATGTGGAGATTACCGAGCTTTAAATAAGCAGACGATAGCAGATAGATACCCAATTCCGCACATCCACGATTTTTTCCATAACATGGCAGGTGCTCAGATATTTTCCAAAATTGACCTCGTTCGTGCATACTACCATATACCGGTCGAGCCCAAGGACATCCCCAAAACGGCGGTGACCACTCCTTTTGGCTTATTCGAGTTCGTCCGCCTACCATTTGGCTTGACTAACGCAGCTCAAACATTTCAGAGATTCATTGACCAGGTATTGCACGGCCTCCCATTCACTTACGCTTATATCGATGATATACTGGTTGCAAGTAAATCCCCTGAGGAGCACGAACATCACTTAGAAACACTCTTTAAACGTTTAGCCGAATATGGAATTGTCATTAAACCAAGTAAATGTGAATTCGGTAAGAAAACTATAAAATTTTTGGGACATCAGGTAGACAATCAAGGCATTCGACCAATAGCAGAACAGCTGCAAGTCATAAAAGAATACCCGATTCCAGATTCCTTCAAAAAGTTACGCAGATTTCTTGGTCTCGTCAATTTTTATCGCCGTTTCATTCCTCACTGTGCACAGCTGGCCCAACCTCTGACAGATTTACTAAAAGGTCATGCAAAATCGCTGCACATGAGTACTTCAGCAATCGAGGCATTTGAAAAGCTGAAACAAACTCTAAGCTCAGAAACTTTACTAGTACGTCGTGACGTCAACGCTCCTATAGCGATTATGACAGATGCATCAGACGTCGCCGTCGGTGCAGTTCTTCAACAATTTTCTGCTGGGAAATGGCAACCTCTCTCCTTTTTCTCCAAACGTCTAGACGCCACTCAATCAAGATATAGTGCATTCAGTAGAGAATTACTAGCAGTCTATCTTGCTGTTAAACATTTTCGTCATATGGTAGAAGGAATACCGTTTACCATCTACACAGACCACAAACCACTAACCAAGGCCATGAATGCAAAGCACGATAAGTACTCGCCAAGAGAACTCAGACACCTCGAGTTCATTTCTCAGTTCACTTCAGATATTAGATTCATAAAAGGACATAAAAACGAGGTAGCAGATGCGTTATCCCGCATCCATATAAATACCTTAGAAAAAGACCAATTTGATCTTAAAAATATGGCTAGACTGCAAACTATGGACGAGGATCTGAAAAGAATAAAAAATAGCACGAGTACTTCCTTACGTTTGCAAGATGTTATGCTTGATGAAGGACTAATTATTACGTGTGATGTTTCCAAAGGTAAACCGCGCCCTTTTGTCCCACTAGAAATGCGAAGATCAGTTTTTTCCAAAGTACATGGCATTTCTCACCCTGGCATCCGAGCAACAGTTAAACTGATAAGTGACCGATATGTATGGCCGAATATGAATCGGGAGATTAAACAGTGGGCCAGATCATGTTTAGCCTGCCAAAAGTCAAAAGTACAACGACATACAGTTTCGCCTAATGGACAGTTTCCAGAACCTGATGGTAGGTTCCAACACATACACATTGACATCGTTGGACCATTACCACCATCTAATGGCTTTACGTACATTTTAACGTGTATTGACAGATTTACAAGATGGCCAGTAGCTTGTCCCTTACCTGATATTTCTGCTGAAACCGTTGCAAAGAGCATCGTACAAAATTGGATTTCCAACTTCGGAGTGCCCACCATTATTACTACAGACAGAGGTTCCCAATTCGAAAGCCATTTATTCCAACAACTCACAGAACTACTGGGAATCAAACGTATACGTACTACTGCATATCATCCCAGTTCAAACGGCTTAGTGGAGAGATTTCATCGTCAACTGAAAGCATCATTGATGGCAGTGAAGGACGATGATAAGTGGAGCGATAAATTACCTCTCGTACTTCTTGGAATACGTTCGACAATAAAACAAGATATCAAATGTTGTCCAGCAGAATTAGTTTATGGAACTACTTTACGACTACCTGGAGAATATTTCAACCCAGCCACTGAAGTTCCAACTGACGAAACTACTTTTGTACAACAACTGAGACAGCATATGAGTCTTTTAAGATATCACCCACCGCGACATCAGCTCAACCAAGCATACATGCCTGAAAAACTAGAAAATTGCACGCATGTTTTCATACGACACGACGGTGTAAGGAAACCACTTCAACCACCCTATGACGGACCATTCAAAGTAATAAGCAGAACAAGCAAAATCATCACTGTCGAACGCGGAGGAAAACACGAGATTGTAAGCATCGATCGAGTAAAACCAGCTTTCATGGAAATAGAGGTGACTGAATGTTTACCCAAGTCATCAACATCACCTAAAATTACGCCACAAAATGATTCCTGCTTTCAAGATTCAAAATCTGATGATATTCCGTCTAGCAAAACAGAAAGAATCACAAGATCAGGCAGACGAGTACATTGGCCACAAAGATTTGTACAGACAATTTATTTCTAATTCATTTCCATACTACCTTATTACGGTACTATTAACTGTATGTTAAGATATAAATCTATTCTGTAACTCTTTACAATAACAACCCCATTATTATTCTAATAATTTTTCTGGTTTTATTGTTACATTTTGCACAACTTTCTAAATATTTCGGTTCGTTTCGAAGTTGTTAACACTTTTGCATATATACAGTTATATTATCAAACCTCAAAAACTTAAAATCCTCAATTCGGTTTTCATACCACAAACTCGTATATATTTCTTCTGTAATTGTAATTTACAATATCATTCCGAATACAGGTAAACTTCATTTACCTGCATTCTACGGAGGGGCTATTGTAGTGACCCGTTTTATTACTCATAATCGTACTATACTTTCATTGTGTAATTGTACTTTCATTTGTTTATTACTCTAAATCATGCATGTTAACAATTGATACTTTTTGTACTCGCTCGATTTTTGAATTTTGATTGCTGCAATAATACACTGTCGTATTCCTTCGCAAGTGCCTTTTTAATTACGTTGTGGATGTCGAGTAATCACAACGTTAGGACACAAATATAAACGCGAAGAAGTACTAAGATATACGTGCATTCTAGTTCAGTCAAAATAGAGCAGCAATAAGTCCACAGGGACAAGCTCGAACAGGTTGACCAGTGGTAAAACTTTTGTGACTGTATGGGGCAAATTCTCCATAATATACGACGGTTTAAGTGTTCTAGGGAAACGATGGAGTAGGGCAGAAAAAACACAATCCGCTGGTATCCCGACGCAGATATTGTAGACAGAGGAACTGCGGATGATTCCAGGAATTTTTAGTTGGGTGCTGTCATTAATCAGTTTTTACTATTGGCAACAACTAACAGGTTGAAATTAGTTGGAAAATCAGCCCCGAGTACGGAATAACCCATGTCGGCTACTATAAAACTCCATGTGAAACGACGGCGCAAGCCTAGATCCAGTATAAGAGATTGTTCGCAGTAGGTCAGCATGCTTATGTGGTTGGCTGCACGAAGAGACAGTTTTCTCGGTGTCCAAATGGTTTGCCTGGATAGTGAAGGAGGGATCATGCTAACTTCTGCTCCTGTTTCTACCAGGAATAAGGTGCCTGAAGTTTTGTCCTTCACATAGAAAAGGCTACTTGTTTGCTTGTCAGTAACAGCTGTCCTCATCGCTGGCTGGCTGGGGCGTTTCCCTGAGCCTGATTATCTTCACTAAAAACGCACATTTTAGGACGTGACTTCTAAACTTCCTGTGATACCAACATATATTACTGTCCCTAGAAGTCGTGCGGGGACGCTGTCGAGAGAGAGATCGACGTTGTAGTTGCTAACTTGCTTGTGAACTTCGCCTCTGGAGTCGTCCATCAGACTTACTAATTTCCAACTTTTCAATCCTTGTTGCTAGGTCTGCAATGGCAGCAAGTATTCGTATGTCTGTCGTGGGTGTGTGCTGAAACGGTGTTGCACTGCCAGTTGCTATATGACCTACGCGGTTACCTGATAAGACGTCCACAATACCATCTGCCATGTCGCTTAAGAAGTATAGGTTGAATGATTTTCCTGAGATTATTAAAATTTGTTGAACGTTTCTAAGTAAACTTTGCAACCACATTTGTCTCACCACGGTATCGTCCACTTTATAGTGTCCAATGAACTGCTGCATGCGTCTGAGGAGCTGCGATGGTCTACACGTTCCTAGCTCACAGCTTACAAGTAATTGTTGAATTATTTTTCGTACCACAAACTGGTGTGTTGTATAACAGGGGCTTTAAGTTTGTCGTATAGGCTTTCCGTCGGGGAGTTTTCGATGAAATGACTGACTTCTGTTAACACTGACGGAGGCAGTTCTCCCAACATGGTGACATATTTGGCTATCTAAGACTTAATCCCGCATGCTCCCAACAAAGGCTCAATAACTCCGAAACAAATTCCTGGCTCTATGAAGCCATATTGTGGTAAACGAAAATCAGTGATGGTATTCAATGTGACCTATGTTCACCAATTAAGTGTTGTGGACTAAGAGGCTAAGCTCGTTTATACACGAATAAAAAGGATAAAACAAATACAAACATGTATGTAGAGAAAAGAATTCAGTCCACACAAATTAATATACGTATAAAATATGGTTACTTGATGAGTTATAAATGTCCCAAGATACACAAGTAAAGAAGTACAGAATTGAAGTGATGAAGTAGTCCCTTTTCAGTATACAGTTGCTCACTCCACTTAAGAGTATGCCAACAGCTCGAAGGTACTTGTGGAGAGAAAATGAGATTGAAGCAAAGGATCCGAAAATGAATGTACGGATCAGGTACGATCCAGAAATGATTGGCAATAATGGAAAGCTAGAGGCTGGATAGGGAAGTTTTGTCGTCCATACAGCGTGCTGAACCAGGTCATGTCCTTATTCAATCTGAAGCAACAACCACGATGTGCAGTGAGTTCATTATTTTTACTATTTTACAATGAACCTGTAATCTGATACTTCTCGGCCTCCACAGCTTTGAAGATATGAAAGGTCAGAACATGACGACCTTTAAGATATCTCAGGAATTTCTGTAGAGCCCATGAGGTAACATCTTGACAAGAAACTAAGCGGGTTTGTAGACACTTTTCCACAATAATTTACTCCTGTACAATCATTATTGTTTTTATATGTTAAGGACCTAAACTCACGTTTCATTCTCAAGCTGTCAAAAATGTATGTCGCTGTACAAACCATCTCCACTTCTATCTGTAATAGCCTCTTACTGTTTATTAAAGACAGTATTTGAATATCCTTCTCCAAAAAGAACTTTTCAGGAAACACCACTGCCCCCGAATCTATTATTACAAACATTTCTATTGAATGTAGCGCATAACCACCTATGACAGTTCAATAACACCTCCGTAATTCTTTATAACATAACATTGCAGAATCTATATCTCACATATTTTAAGTTATTCATTATGTTGTACACTATTTAATAAACAACAAGTAGATTCAAGCGAATTTGAATACTTACTAATAAGAGACCTGTTGGATAACAACCCCCATTACTTGATTATTTGCATTTAGAATGAAATAAGACTGTTTAGCACTTCGTTAGAAGCGGATGCAATGCAGTGATCGTCAAGAATTGAAATTTTAACCACAATAGGTACAACCCATTTCCCGCGAAACCTCCTTCCCGTTCAATTTTACAAGTTTTAACACTGAAATCACAAAAAAATCCGGTTTGTTGGCGTTTCTTTCCAACGAATCTTTAACAACAATGCATAAAACGCAAAAGCTGAGGTATAGTTCAGTTTAAAGTTCACCAGACAAGCTTCTTCAAATAGTTTATCTAACAAATTCTTATTCCTCAACGACACTGCCACTAAATACGAAACTATGGCAAAAATTGAAAAAAAATCACTGGATAGCTGGACGTCTCAAACAAACATTCATCATGTTACCACCTCCTTGACACTCTTGTAAATGAATCACCGTACCTAAACGCATGCTGAAGTAGGCACTGCATGAATGGGGATATATCCAAAACTGAATATTCCAAGATTCAATTGTAACAAAACGCTTAAGATTGAATGTTTATTTAGTGAGACTACGTGAAATAACCTCCAAATGGCAGACTGTTACTGATGTAGATGATGCAGAGTTTAGAAGATTAAGAGATTTTGGCGTTTACACACACTACGATATACACAACGGAAGTTCTTTCACCAACCCCACCCCCCCCCCCGCACAACTCCTACAGTGTTTGTTCTGCGCAAATCAAAACACCAAATTGATCGACCAAAATACGAAATGCACTACAGGATGAAAAATCATTTTGCGATGATCATTGTGAAGCCAATTAGGAATCGTGCACGAATTAGAGAATGGATCTGCGAAACTCAGAATCCATATCTAGTGGTGAATGCTAATAAAAATTTGGGGAATTATTCACCGCTACAAGAGAATAATGAATAATAGATGCCATAGTAACCTCCGAATCACCAGTCCATAATTCTACTGAAATGAACTATGAAATCCAACCGCCAAAAGAGATAATCGTTCCACTCTAATCACCATTTGTCAGTTAAATAAATGCAAATTACTTTTACGTCGACGTGTACATATACAGCTACGCGCGCTCCTTGAATACGACGTGCATTTTTCCGTCTAACAGGAAATATCCACTTTTGTGAATAATTCGTTTGGGAAACCTGATCTTCCTATCCGGCGAATTTTATTCAACCATTTCTTCTTCACCGAGCTTGTGTTTGGTACTTCCCACTGTCTCGAACTACTGCCCAAGCTTCAGGTGCTACTTCTGTAGCAACATCCCCCTCACTCTTTCAAATATACAGGACTTGTTGGTCTGTTACGTGATTGTTGTGAAGCCGAATAACCTGAAAGTTACAGGTAAAGTCAAAAGCTTTTACTTATATACTTTATCTTTCTGTTCTGTGCTTTCTACTGTCTTTTGCTGTCAGTCTATTGGACAAAACTCCACTCTCTCTTATCATTTAATCATCGGTATTATTTTAGGAGTAAAATGACTATAGATTCTCATCCCAAGATAAGTAATGGGAGACCATGCACCGTAGTCACCAGAGCTTCAGCCAAACTAAGCAAACAGGTGAATAGTATGACACCTATATCCACAGTAGGCCTTGAAACAAACAGGAAGGCCAATAAGAAACGTTCACGACGTCGCAAGACGACTACAACGTTCCCCAAGAAGGCAGACGATTGCAAGGTCTGCAATTCTATTGTCGAACAAGCAGATTCTGCTTTTGAATGTAGCTTTTGTAAGCAATGGGTACATTGTAGATGTGACACCGGAGTACCAAAGGTATATTACGATTTTATGCGTAAGAACCCATGCCCATGGTTCTGGTACATTTGCCCAAGTTGCCGTCCTAATGCAGCCTCGTGTAGTTCCTCGAAAGCTACAGATGTCATAGAGATATCAGGAAAAAACGTGAAACGTTTCACTCCCACCAACTCAGAAAACAGCACAATTGCATGTAAA